CGCAGACAGGGATTCCTTCGTTTAAATGGGCTGAAATTGTTTTACCGTTTAGAGGATTTAACGTTATGTCACCGAAATGACCACTACCAAATGGCCATTTCCAGTCTTGAAGATAAGAAACATTCCTCGCCGTGTAGTCTAGCTTGCGCAAATGCCTTATTCAGAAATGGAACGAGCCAAACATGAGCAGTTTCATCAGAATATCAGTATTTATGTGGACGCTCTCTCGTGCATTCCTATTCGATGAACGGAGTCTAAATGCGAGCAAAAACGATGAAAATGGCCGCAATATATAGAGAAAGATATAGTCTTGCGTGTACGGAAGAAATATACCAGTACGGTTTAGGAAGGTGAAAGAAACGGCCAAAATTGTCATATTTTTTTCTTGGCCTCACCGTGCAAAAGTGCAAAGTACACAGAGATCCGTCAACGGAGTGCAGTAAGAAAGCACTTCCTAAAGAGGTAACTTATTACAGAGAGTTTTCAAATTGTGATTGAAAGCCTATTTGTTACTGACTTTCGTCGTGGCCAGCTATTCTATTCGACAATGAAGTTTCATGCTTGCGTGAGTCTTCAAATTCGACTCAAACGACCTTCTTCATGAAAAAGAACGTCCAAACACTCGCTACTTCGATAAATGCCTTATTTAAAAGTTTAACAGAAACATGTTACAGAATCTTTCTTTATGGGCGATCGGATGACAATACTGAAAATCAGCAACGTTATCCTGAAGAGACTAAAATTACACGTTAATTTAACGCAAGAAAAAGTTCTATTTATAAACACAAAATAATATAGGCTGTATGTTATTACAGACAAAGACAGGGAAGACTGGAATGGCAATTTCTGGCTTATTTGCCGTCGTCAGTCAGTCATAGCCAATCCCGAAGCGTGGAACACGCGAGGCTCGAACTCGCGACCTGTTGGTTAGATGTACACGCCTCTAACCACTCGGCTACGAGCCCAAGAGTCGAAGACAATCGACTAATGTAGAATAACCACGTAATGCCAATTCAACAAACGAGTACTACCACAAGTAGTATGAAATGTATGCATCAAAGATACCATACCGTACTCCGGACACGTGTAACAACTAAAAGCCCAGACATGAGTTTCGCCGACACTGCGTCTGCATGACACAACTGCGAGGGGTTCGGCTCTTGGTTATGACTGGCTAACGACAGCTAATGCGCCAGAAATGGCCATTTCAGTCTCCCTTGTCTTTGTTGGTAATAACATACTGCCTATATCATGCGCCGCTGTGCGGCTGCTGGTTGGGTTCGAGAGAGAGCCCGTAAGGCACGACGGAACGAGTGAGTTCCGGAAGAACGATCGGTGAGCGCCCCTACCAAAATATACAGTTAGTGACCTAACGCATGAAATGTGTCCAAATTTACGAATGATTGCTAATCACTCGCAAACCGACACCATTTCAGGAGTTCGATTTCTAGGTTAATTAACTACAAGTTTAAAAGCATTAAAAACACAAAAGAATTGTTAAAGACGGTGTGGCTCCTGTGGAGCAGGATACATCGGCCGTACAACGAGACGCCTGGTAAAGAGGGTGCGTGAACATATGCCCGCCTGGCTAGGCAGAGGTGAGACCCGATCGGTTTCGAGTTCTATTCTCGCACATTTAATCGATACGGATCA